CTCATGGTCTACTCGTCCATCAGATGGATGTTAAGACAGCTTTCCTCAATGGAGAGTTGGAGGAAGAGATCTATATGGATCAACCAGATGAGTATGTACTAGTGTACTAGAAGGTCAAGAGGGAATGGTGTGCAAGCTGTTGAAGTTCTTGTATGGTCTGACAATACACTTACATCTGCTGGCTTTATTGTGAACGAAGCTGACAAATGTGTGTACTATCGCTATGGTGGGGGAGAGGGAGTGATCTTGTGTTTATATGTCGATGACATATTGATCTTTGGGACCAGCCTCAATGTGATTGAGGAGGTCAAGGACTTTATGTCCAAAAGCTTTGAAATGAAGGATTTGGGAGTGGTTGATGTTATTCTTAACATTAAACTACTGAGAGGAGATGAGGGTGGGATTACACTTGTGCAATCTCACTATGTGGACAAGGTCTTGAGTCGCTTTGGTTATAGTGACTGGAAGACAGCTCCTACTCCTTATGATCCTAGTGTGCTATTAAGGAAAAACCGAAGAATAGCAAGGGATCAATTGAGATACTCCTAGATTATTGGTTCATTGATGTACTTAGCTAGTGCAACGAGGCCTGACATCTCATTTGCTGTGAGCAAGTTGAGCCGGTTTGTTTCAAATCCGAGAGATGATCATTGGCATGCTCTTGAAAGAGTAATGCGCTATCTAAAAGGGATAATGAGCTATGGAAATCACTACGCTGGGTAACCAAAAGTACTGGAGGGCTATAGTGATTCAAACTGGATATTTGATGCTGATGAGATAAAGGCCACAAGTGGGTATATGTTCACACTTGGAGGGGGCGCTATTTCCTGGAAGTCTTGCAAGCAGACCATCTTAACGAGGTCAACAATGGAAGTAGAACTCACAGCTTTAGATACTGCCACAGTTGAGGCCGAATGGTTTCGTGAGCTCCTGATGGACTTGCCGGTGGTTGAAAAACCAGTACCAGCAATCCTGATGAACTGTGATAATCAAACAGTGATTATTAAAGTGAACAGTTCGAAAGACAACATGAACTCATCCAGGCATGTTAAAAGAAGACTGAAGTCTGTCAGAAAGCAGAAAAACTCCGGAGTGATAGCATTAGACTATGTCCAGACGGCTAAAAATCTGGCATATTAGTTTACCATGGGGCTACCACGTAATGTGATAGACTGTGCATCGAGGGAGATGGGCTTGAGACCCAGTTAGAGTTGCACAATAGTGGAAACCTGTCCATTGTGATCAGAGATCCCGTGAATTTGGATGGCGAAACAAACTATTGTGTAACTGAGAGAAGAGACCCTAAAATGGGCTTATCTTCATGATGCACTTCTCTTCTAATCTGTATGGTAGGATGGTATACACCTTAATGTGATTCGAGTGGCTTTTCATAAAGCAGAGATGTTGGCCAACAGAACATCTTAGAAGGAACACACCTATATGAGTCCGACTGCTAGTCACAGTCTATGAGATCTGAGTGATCTCTAGATACTCATGAAAAGGCCAGGAGTATGACTTATACACTCCAAACAGAGGGGATGCAAACGGCAGCCTAGTACCAGTTAAGGGTTTGAGTGAAACCTGAATCACACAAGACTAACAATTCAAGGCATAGTCCATTGTTCAGTTGTGATCTGGTGTAGCTCTTTTCCTAGGTGGAAGTTAAACTTAATAGTCTCCACCGAAATACTGGTATAACAAACAGGATTAGAATCGAGAGCATTTCCTGTGAGCCATGAAATTTGGTGGGGATTGTTAGATTAATGGGCTAGGCCCAATTAAATCCTAATAAATTCCATTGGCCCACATTAAGTGCTATGGGTAATAATACCACCTTGGAAATCTAAGTGAAGAGGTCTCAACTTAAATACGGAGCTGTTGAGATGGTGCGCGGACAACCAGGCGGGGCGAGGCGAGGCGAGGCGAGGCAGACAGTTGTTGCTGCTGCGCTCTCTCGTTTTGTAACGGACGGTAATAAACACGGAGAATCGATTTCATATCAATGAACGCATCGGTTACGGAATTAAACGTCGTAAATTTATTCCGTCGGTTACGAAATTAAACACCGTGAATTGATTCCGTCGGTCACGGAATTAAATGACGTGAATTGATTCCGTATTAACGAGCACGTCGGTTACGAAATTAAACACTGCGGTTGATGACTCCGAACATTACTCTCGCGCTTGCATATATATACTCCGCAGCGACCAGAAGGACAGAAGAAGTTTTTTCTGACCTCTCTTGCACTTCGAGTTCCTCCTCCTCTGTTCCTGAGCTGCAGAATCCTTCCCTGGTTCTGTTCACCTGCGCACACAGGTGTACGGGACGAGCAGGTGCCTCCGAAACTCCGTCCGCTTGAGAACCTGCACGGGTAGGCAAGCGATCAAGTTTTTGGGTAGCGCTTCAAGCGCGACTACCCTTATTCTTCACGGCTACTGCTGCTGCATCGACGCCTTCACCAAGATGTCGACGAAGATTAGAAACAAGATGATGAACGACATCAACGGAGGCAATACTTCCTCAAAATTCAACGGTGGGACGTTCTCGGGGTATACTTTCATTCTCCCGATTCTATTAGATGTTTCTTTGTTAATACTCTTCGCAATGGCAGCGCATTGCGTTACTATGTAAATGTTGATGTTTATTTCATATTAAGCATACTCAAGTTGTATACATCTAGCACTGTCACTAGATCTACTTATATTGCAACTGTCATGTTTATTGTCTTAATATTTTAGATTAAAATATGCTGAATTATGACCAAATTTCCAACGGTGACTGCGCGGCTGCGCCGCACCCGCCAGCGCCAGTCCGCTCCATAGGCTGGCTCTGTTGCGGCGGCACAGTGTCAGCCTCGCCTCGCACAGTATCCACGGATCGCACCCGCTAGCCATCACCTCCGTGGGCCCGCCTGTCGTGGAAAAAAAATTGGTGGAGACTGGGTGTAAACCGGCCTGCTCTGGAAAAAAAAAGGGACTAGCTATATTTATGGCGCCATATTTTTCACAAAATATAGTCGGTATGTGTTTACATTGTAAGTCACTAAATTACATATGTAATTTTAGTGTATTTACGATGTAAGCCCCAAAATTACATATGTAAGTATTAAAATTACATATGTAAATCCTAAAATTACATATGTAAATAGTGTGTTAGTGATGTGTAACTACTATGTAAATTTATATAAATATATAATTTACAACAACAACAAAGTTTAAAAAGCATATCAGTATGCATCTACGCCGTGTCAGAACCAATCATAGCAAAGCGTGTGTGCTGATGCCCCATGAGCACGAATCTTCATGCCAATCCTAAGGCTGAAAATTCGACTGCGTTTGTGGGAAAAATCTGTCGTCATAATTATAGCCGATCCGAAAAAAAAAAATTGATGGAGACTGGGTGTAAACCAGCCTGCTCCTGTCCAGCCCGGCCCCAATGATTGCTGCGTGGATACAAACAAGAGATCAATCATCTAGCTCGTTGCGGCTCCAAGCGTAGCACAAATAAAGTTTGATACGTTACCGTAAGTATAGCGCGGAAATATATACATCGGCGTTGAGGCATAAGGACATCGTTGCTAATAGTGCTTAACATACTATTGATCGATGCAATACTCCATACGAATATTGTTATTGAATCAGGAATTAAAATTGCGCTCTAGGCTAATCCTGGCTAAGAGGTACGACCTCATCGATGCGGGACTCATCGTTCAACACAATAGAGGAAGAAAGACTTGGCGGCTACAGCCAGCTTTGCCTATTAGAGTGGTATTCATGCCTAGGTTTTAAAGGTGTTATTTCATTGATAGGTAGAAGTGGTATTTTTAAGAATATCTATATGGATTTGGAAATAAGTGAGTTATAAACGGTGATGTAAGTAGTGATATATTTTAGTGTATTAATGATGTATTAGGTCTTTTACATATGCAGTTTCATCTACTTCCTCCGTTTTACAATATAAGTCATTCTAGCATTTCCACATTCATATTGATATTAATGAATCTAGATAGATATATATGTTTAGATTCATTAACATCAATATGAATGTGAAAAATGGTAGAATGACTTACATTGTGAAACGGAGAAAGTATTAAATAATACTCAGCTTTTAAATAATAATAATAAGTAGTAGTGAAAATAGAGAAATTTATATGCAACCGGGACTAAGTGATTTTTTTTATCTGGACATATTCTATTAAGTATATAAAGTGTACGGTCTACTTTACTTTGTAGAAATGGTGAGACTTTTTTTTTTACGAAACCGCATATCTAGGCGGCTTCCTTGGTTCGAAAAAGTTGGTCAGCAAGATTTTCTTTATTTTTTCTAACTAAGAAACTATAACTGCATTCTCAAAAGAATCTCAACACGAATCCCAATCCTAAAGTTTGACGATTTTTGTTAATCTTTTATTAGATATTCTGGGATTAAGGGGATTAAATTTTATGTATTGTTAGCCGTGCTCCTCAAAACCACTCCTTGTAAAAAAAAAAAAGCAAATGCAAAATGCGCGCATGAATGGTTCCCTTCTCTACTGTAAAGTACGGAGATGGATCTCTCTCGGATGGATATCAACCCGTTTCTTACATACAATCTAAATAATTATGAAAAAAATCTAAAAAAATATATAAGATATGTTAATATGTAACATATCACTTCACAAACATACAAGTTCAAATTCGATTTCTACAATTTATAACAAAAATAACAAATTAAACTCTAACTAGTATACGTATATTCACAGTCAAATTTGTTATTTTTGTTATAACTTGTAGAAGTCAAATTTGAACTTGCATGTTTGTGAGATGATATATTACATATTAACCTATCATGTTAATTTTTTTGAAAAATTTTTATAACTATTTATATAGCATGTAATATATATAATATACAGATAGACGACCACCTGAGTGTTTAAAACAGTTTCCTATAAAGTACTACTCCAAACTCCAACCATACGTCAGGGGGCCTACATCTAGCCACATCAAGCCGTGGAACAAAACTAGCAGAGCAAACAAATACTTCGCTGGCATCAGCTAACAAACAGATCGACATGCACTCCACTCAACATCTGAACCTTATCTCCGTCTAATATAGGAGTATTAGGTTTTGTTCTATTTTCAATTACTCGATCTCGGCCATTCCGTGCTTTTTGTGCTCTAAAAGAAGCCAGTACAACAGCACTAGTACATGCTAATTAAACACTTCTATTACTACGTACAGAGCAGGGTTACGTAGGCAGATACTAGACCACGCCCGGTTCTCAATCTGATCGCTATTACCAGTGGCTGGCACTCTGGACTAGGTACCGGTGCGGCCGCGCCTCGCCGCTGTGCCGGTTGTGATGCTGCTGCTGGTGCAGAACACGAGCGGGAGGAGACGACATCTGATGCGCCGCCCACCGGGATGCGCACGACGGCGCGCTGCCAGTCTGACGGTGGTACAGGGCATGGGGTACCGTCCTGGACGGCGGCGGCGGTGTCGTTGTCGTCGTCCTTGGGAACAGGAACGCCCGGATCTTGAGCGGCTGGAGGCGGTCCCGGCTGGCCGCGTCGTACTCCTCCAGCAGGTTGGCGAGGTCGTCGTCGCCGGTGACGGAGACGAGCGCGTCCAGGTCCTCCGTCGGGAGCTGGCACCGCAGGCACACCGCCTCCCACCCGCACATCTCCCTCAGCTTCCGTTGCAACTCTGGATTCACAATCCAAACGTACGTTGTAAGAGCTCCGATCGATCGAGAGATCGAACTACCAGTCTCACTCAGGAGCAGGTTGCAGGTGTACCGTGGAAAGGGAGGGAGCGGTCGACGGAGACGACGCGGTTGTCGCCGCCGACGTAGCGCAACGCGCCGTCGGCGTGGCGAGGGAGGATCCTCCCGCCGTAGCTGCAGAGGAACTTGACGAACGTCCCCTCGGCTGCGGCGTCCGCTGCCTTGACGACGCACGCGACGACGACGTCGTCGTCGAGAGAGCCGAGCGACGACGTGCACGTCGAGGACGATGACCAGGAGGAGGTTCCCACCATGGCTCTCCTTCCTTGGACGGACGAACGGCCGGGGACAGCTGAGAATCTCACTGGAGAATCTTGGCTAGCTATAGCTCTCTGGCCTTGCTGCCCCCATGAGCGAGCCGCTTCAAGCCTCGTCTCGTCGACACGAACGCCACATTTATAATGTGTGGAGAGCGTGACGGTTTTGGAGATGCCAAATGACTGGTTGAAACAAAACTCTCTGACCGGCCAATTTTGTGAAACGGCCTATTGGACTGAAGCAGAATCGTGTCAATTGCCTACAAGTATTCAACAAGCTGTAGAATCAATCGACCATAGTGGATGCACATGCACGCACGCATTTCCCTGCGGTTAGGACTTAGGACCACTAGGACGAGCTGGATCTGTAACAGACGGTCCAGAGCAGGCGCGGCTGCGATGATACGAATATCTCGTCATTCATTCACTCGCAGCTGTGAACCTCCTGTTTGTTTGGTTCGGCGATATCTCCGTCCGTGTGAATTGAAGATGTGAATAACGGTGATTATACTAGTACACACGGAACGTCATGGAACCGGACAACGTACACTACACACGTCGCGCGTCCGGGTTCCTCAAATATTCCGAGGCTTATCCTCCCGGAGATCATCAAGACATATATTGCAAGTAGGAACAGGACGAAGATGTGAAGCAATCGGTGAAGGCTGGAGTCCGGTCCACCAGCAGCGCCGGGTGACGACAGTGCTACAGAAATAATGCAGCGGGGCCCCGTTGCCCACGTCAATTCTCTGAGGAGCTAGCTGATGACGACGAAGAGATAAAAGCTTTCAGCTCGCCGCGGGGCACGAAAATTTCAAAATAATTAGAGTAAATTTCACAAAATTATAAATACTTTGATCAAATCATTATAAAAACAATAGATTTAAGATGGCGTATCTTGAAACTACATATTTGAAAATAAATTTATCATAAAACTACAAGTAAGTTTAAGGTTAAGCATGGCTAAAAAGCGATTTTTCTGTACGTGGACCTATTTAGATTACAGACGGACCATAATTGGTTGCGCCCGGGAAAATAAGTTCATTTTCGCGTGTACGGTCCTCTTAAACGAACCACACGTGGAAAGGAGATTATTTTTACATGCGGACCTATTAAGAGAGCCACACACAAAAATACCCACTCTCTCTCCCTCTCTCTCCATGCTACTCACTTTAAATTTTCCCATCTTTCTCTCCTCTCGTCTCTCGTCTCTCCTCTCTATATCATTTTCTTGACTCCCCACATCTCTCCTCTCTATCTCTTTTTCCCCGATCTCTTCTCTCCTCTCCTCCCGAGTCCCGACGGCGGCAGCGGGCGTAGGCGACGACAGCGGTGCATGGCGGCAGCAGCGGCGCGCGGGATCCGGCGGGCGGCGGCCGGCCGCCCTCTCCCCCGCGGGAACCAGCTCCCCTCCCCTCCCCTCCCCTTCCTTCCCTCCCCAGATCCGGCGGAGGGGAAGGGCGTCGACGGTAGTGCGGCCAGAGGGAAGCACGGATTAGGCGGCCAGCCGCCCTCCCCCCCTACGAGATCCGGCTCCCCTCCCCAGATCCGGTGGAGGAGAGGGGCGTTGGTGGCGGTGCGGCCGGAGGGGAGCACGGAGGCCAGTGGCGGGCGGCGCGAAGGCCGGTGGGATAGTAGATCCGGCAGCGGGCGATGCGGAGGCCGCCGACGAGGGTGGGAGGTGTGTCCTCAGCCGACAACGATGACGAGGAGGAGGAGGAGGAGGCAGCCGGGATCGCGCGGTGCCGCCGCCGGATTCAAGGTTTTCATTTTTTTTTGAAATTTTATTTTTTTTAGATTTTTGTTTTTCCGTGTGGGTGCGCCACCCACACGCGAAAATCGGATTTGACCGCATGGAAAAACCTTTCTCGTAGTAGTGAAGTATCGCAAAACTGCTAATTTTATAATAAAATTATCACAAAACTATATATTTTAGGCATTAAATTTCCATCACAAATGTTATGTTTGATTTATAAAACTTTTAGTTTTGTGATAACTGTTAGTATTTCGTAATGTTCACAGATAAAGTCCGCAAGCGCACAGAGATATCGCTGTAGCACTTCACCCGTGAGTATTCCAAGGTATCGATTTTCCATAGGGAAACGTGTGTGTTCAACTTCTCTTCAAGTTCTTCCGAGGACACAAGGCAAAAATGTGCAAAGGGTAGAGAGGATTTCCTAGTGAGAAACAATATCTACAGAAAGCATAATTTAATTCTATCGCTATACTTCAGGCGCTGGCTTGCTCGTTGCTACCAGAACGCGCTCTAATTCGTACCTAGACAGGGAGGACTACGGTAATCTTGAGGGCTGTCACTACCTCTACACCAACCTCTAACTATTTGTGGGATATGCAGCAATCACTGGAAATTAATGACCTAGATACCGTGTCTATGCAGTTAATTACTACTTTAGTGTTTATAACTCTCCAAAGTAAACACTATCTATAATTCAAATGAATAATAGTCCTTGTCGTTGCTTCATGCCCCTATCTTCCCCTCACAGATCTAGCAAGCATGAGGCCGGATCCGGTGAGCTCAAAGTCCACAAGCTCAGCAACGGTTAGGGAGGGAGCCTTGATCCGCACCGACAACGTCAACCGGGAGGGAGGAGTGGGAGCTCTAGATGGCGGCTGGGGAGGGAATCTCATCGCTGGACAGCAAGGGATGAAAATGGATTGGAAGCTAGCTCTATCTTATTCGTTTCATTTTTTTTCCGGAATAGGAATCGGAAATCCGGATACAGAAATAGAATTGAATAGAAATACGGAGTGAATACGAAACGGAACAAATAGGGTTTAACCAATATTTGCTGGAATATAAATGCCCCTCCTATTGATCTTGTAATGTTTGTTTTACACTTGAAATATTTACAAATACAAATATCATAAACTACAAAGTGGTAGATCCATTAAATTCTACAATTTTGATATCGAGCACGTCTACATCGGATGGTGTTTAAGTTGTTGATTTAATATTTTGTAAAAACAAATATGGTATTTTGTAATGAATATTTAGACACCTAAACGATCTCAAATAATAAAGTTGTCAACAACAAAGTTGTAGATCTCATTGAGCTCTACAATTTTGGTATAAATATTGTCTTCATCAGTGATAACGACGTCACTTCATCGGATTCGTGCATATCTCCACAAGTTATAGTGACAACTCGAAGTCCAGTTCGGCCTCTAGAGACAATACTGACTTCAAACGGACTTAGCGTCGTCTTCATGTCAACTCCGATTTGGATGATCTTGGACTTGATGAAAAGCTTATCTCGTCACCTTTCAAACGCGTCTAATCTCATATCTAAATTCATTCCGAGTTAACGAGAATCGTCAAAACAAGACAGTGTTATTACTGAAACCGAACTTGGGCCTTGGGCCTTGTAATAGACTAGGTCCAACACGGAAGTGCCTCCTCTCCACCTCCACGAACCAACACCTATCGCTTTATTTTTCTCTATAAATAACTTTGCACACCCTAAAAAACAATTGGGTTTTGTTTAGTTGAACTTTGCCGAGTGCAATTCGCATTGTCTCTAATCCTCGCTCGATTTGTCAGCGACTATAAATTCAGAGCCTCCAATAGTTGATGTGTTGATTTGACGGGTCGATTAGATCTATCACTTCAATCGCAACTATTTCTTTGTGCTTAATTGCCTATTCTCGATATTTAGATTACATCTTATCTTGTTCTTGCAGTATTCTCTCGTTTGCATTGCAGGGATCATCAACCGCGCATCACGGTTGGTACGACATTGTTTGTGGTGTAGCAGTTGCATAGCGTCCTGGACTTGTTCTGGTTGGTAGCTACATCGTAAACGTCGCATTCGATCAAAGCGAAAGTTATCCCCTCACCAGAAGATTGGGCCACGGGAGAGAGCGTCATCAATCAGGCTTTGTATAATAAAGTTATGTATTTTACGTGTTTTTTCTGAAAATTTGCTACTTACGAATATCCGGAGAAAATTCCTATATAATTTCTGACTCCAACGGATAGTGCCCTGCTGTATTCATTTATGTTTTCCAGGAAAAAAAATCAGAATTCGTTTCTGAATCTAAAAATTTCCATACTATCCGAACGGATGGAAACTTTTGTTACCTGTTTCATCCCTATGGAGAGCCGAGCTCGACGGCGTCGATCTCGTCGCCCTCCGCTTGGGAGCTCGTCGGCCCACTAGGGTCTGATCTGCTGGCAGAGAGGAAGGAGAAGGTGGAGAAGGGAAGAGGTCCACAAGTGGAGAAGAGCGGCATTGGAGAACCATCGGTGCGTGTGCGTCTAGTTCAGTGGTTGAGAGGGGGGGCAGTGGCGGATCCAGAAAATCGATTCATTAGTGTCATAGCATGTCTATCAGCGTCATAGTATGTTACTTATGTTTAGATCATGGTGTTGTAATATATGGATAAGTAGTTTTGCTATAGGTTTTACTGAAAGTCGTCGGTGTCGCCTGACACCGGCCCTTATCATGTAGATTCGCCCCGGGGGTTGAAAAATGAGAGTGTGAAGTTGATAGTGGGATCACCAGGAGATTAGAGTATATATGTGTTTTTTTTGTTGTTACAAGGTCCAAACTATGAAAGTTCCTGATCTAAGAATAAAAAATTTAACACCAGCTAATATATAATAACCTAGGAGCCAAAATAGAAAAAACAGCTAGTAGCCTCCATTGTAGAGTGGTGTGGTTTATTTATGACCTAAGCTTATAGCAACTTGAGATCAATGATAGTAACGGTTTCCATTGTAATTCTTCTCCGGGGCCAACGGATGCATGCATATTGGCTAAGATTGCCAGCCACCACGAGCTGTCCTTGACCTTTAGTTTTCATGAATTGTCCCTCTTTACTTTGTTTGTGCATATCAGCATATGTATGACCGTGGCACGATGGGGCTATAGACAAAGCGAGTACATACCTATAAAACATTCTACGCTTTTTTTTAATGAAAATGTTTACATTCTACACAATGTAATTTACTTGTATGTAATCTATTTATCTACTACACACTGAAAAAACCAATTAAACATTACTGAAACGCTAACATTACTCAAACGCTACTCTTTTTACATTTAGTGAGATATATATGACTTTCTTTGGCTTTCTTTTCATGAACATAAATAAGTTCCCACGCATCTGCACGGGTTCCTTTATAAAAAAGTTAGTTGTCCACATTTTCTTTATTTTTTTCCAAGTAAAAACTAAGTTTTTTTCCAACTAAGAACTCAAAGTGCATTACCAACAGAATATAAAAAAGAACCTCGGTCCTAAAATTTAACGATTTTATTAAATTCTAATTGGACATGAATTACTAAAAGTAGATTTAGCGGATTAAAATTTAGTATCTGTTATAGTTATGTTGGTAAGAACTACTCCTTGTAAAAAAAAAAGCAGAAGATAAGTCCTTCAGATTTTTTTCTTTTTTTATAATATATGCACGCATGAGTGGGTGTGGGTCCCTGATCTCTGCCAGGGAGCCACCTGTGGAACAAAACTAGAACAAACAAGCGTCAGCTATCAAAGAGATCGACAGGCACTATACTCAACATTCGAACCTTATCTCCGTCTAATATAGGAGTATTTGGGAGGATAAGGATTTTCTACACCTAGATATACTGACGGAGAAATCATTTTTAGCCGGTCGACCAAATTTTAAAATAGTCCCGGTTCCATTAAAAACCGGGACTAAAAACGGTTTTTAGTTCTGGTTAAAAAATTTTTGATCATAAAGATGATCTTTAGTCCCGGTTCAAACATGTCAGGGTAAATATTACCACTTTAGTCCCGGTTGGTACTACTAACCGGGAGTAAAGATTATTTAGCGTAGTATATAATCCCTATCACTTATCTTCTCAACTCACACAGATTGAATCTCTTCCCCTTCTCCTCTCCTCTCACACATATCTCAATTCTCCTTCTCCTCTCCTCACAGAGATTGAATCTCTTCCCCTTCTCCTCTCCTCTCACACATATCTCAATTCCCCTTCTCGTCTCCTCATCCCCTCTCCTCCACCTCCTCCCCTTCCTTCTCTCCTCCCCCTCCTCCCCTTCCCATCCGGCGGGCCGGCGGGCGGCGGGGCCGCTGCAGGCGGCGGCCATGGCGGATGGCGGGGCCGCTGCAGGCGGCGGCCATGGCGGATGGCGGGGCCGCTGCAGGCGGCGGCGGGCGGCGGGGCCGCTGTGAGCGGCTTTGTGTTTTTTTTATATAATTTTTGATTCCCTGAGATGTATAAATTTGTGATTTATTGTATTGATCTGTGATGTATTTGATTTGTGTGTAATTTTTTAGGATCTGTGATGCATTTGATTTGTGTGTAAGATTTGATGTATTTGATTTGTGTGTAACTTTAAGATTTGTGATGTGGATTTGGTGATGTGAATTTGGAATGTTACTCTGATTTGGGATTTAGGGTTTGATTTGGGGATTTGTATGCCACTTGATTCGGGAGAAAATAAAAAGGAAATAAAGAAAAGGGGACTATTTGGTACTGCCGCTATTCTCTCTTTACTCCCGGTTAGTAACAACAATCGGGACTAAAGATTCCTTTCTTTAGTTCCGGTTGGTGTCACCAACCAGGACTAAAGATGGATCTTTAGTCCCGGTTATTTCATCCAGGACTAAAGATAGCGATCTTTAGTCCCGGATTGCTACTCCCGGTTGGAAAACCGGGACTAAAGGGGTTACCAACCGAGAGGAAATATGGTTTCTCTACCAGTAATACAATGTTACCTATCATTTGCATGCGACTTAAATAGTTATAAAAAAATTAAAAAACTTTAGTAGCATCGATTGTGATGATATAAGTCTATACGCAAATATGCATGACTAAATTTGATCTACAATTAGAGAAAAAAATAATAAAATTAAATAGTGAAAAGTACCCTTACAACGCAGATAAAATTTGTTATTTTGGTTACTTCATATGTTGATCGAATTTGGACTTGCATGTTTGTATAGTGTCTTATATCTTTATAATCTATCTTATCAAATTTTATAAAATTTTTATATAACTGTTTAAATTACATGCCTACACCTATGTGTAAAATATACTTACCCGTAATAAGGTTTTGCTCTATTTTCAGTTACTTGATCAAGTTCGTCCATTTTTTTGCTTTAAAAGACCCAGCACAACAGTACATGCTAATTAAACACCTTCATTAGTACGTACAGCGCAGGGTTACGCGAGTACCGAGTACGTGTAAGGCACGCAGATACTAGACCGCGGCCGGTTCGCAATCTGATCGCTATTACCAGCGGCTGCTGGCACTCTGGACTAGGTACCGTTGCGGCCGCGCGTCGCCGCCGTGCCGGTTGTAATGCTGCTGCTGGTGCGGAACGCGAGCAGGAGGCAACGACATCTGACGCGCCGCCCACCGGGATGCGCACGACGGCGCGCTGCCAGTCTGATGCTGGTAGTGGGCACGGGGTGCCGTCCTGGACGCAGCGGTGGGCGACGGGCTGCGCGATAGCGGCGCGGTCGTTGTCGCTGTCGTCCTTGGGAACAGGAACGCCCGGATCTTGAGCGGCTGGAGGCGGTCCCGGCTGGCCGCGTCGTACTCCTCCAGCAGGTTGGCGAGGTCGTCGTCGCCGTTGACGGAGACGAGCGCGTCCAGGTCCTCCGTCGGGAGCTGGCACCGCAGGCACACCGCCTCCCACCCGCACATCTCCCTCAGCTTCCGTTGCAACTCTGGATTCACAATCCAAACGTACGTTGTAAGAGCTCCGATCGATCGAGAGATCGAACTACCAGTCTCACTCAGGAGCAGGTTGCAGGTGTACCGTGGAAAGGGAGGGAGCGGTCGACGGAGACGACGCGGTTGTCGCCGCCGACGTAGCGCAGCGCGCCGTCGGCGTGGCGTGGTAGGATCCTCCCGCCGTAGCTGCAGAGGAACTTGACGCACGCCCCCTCGACGGCGGCGTCCGCTGCCTTGACGACGCACGCGACGATGATGTCGTCGTCGAGGGAGCCGAGCGACGACGACGAGGACGACGACCAGGAGGAGGTTCCCACCATGGCTCTCCTTTCCTTGGACGGACGAACGGCCGACGACGGCTCAGAATCTTGCTGAGAATCTTCGGCGCGCGCGCGGGGAGTGGCTAGGCCTTGCTGCCTTTATTACTAAGCGAGCCGCTTCAAGCCTCATCTCGGCGACACGAGCACCACATTTATAGCGTGTGGAGAGAGCGTCACGGTTTTGGAGATGCCAAACGAATGGTTGAAGCAAAACTCTGTGACCGATTTTGTTTAAACGGCGTTTTGGACATGCAGAATTGTGTCAATTGCCTAACAGTCTTTAATTATAATCAATGGACCAAAGTGGGATGCAGCACATGCATGCATCTCCTCGATATTAGCTGCCCGAGGGAGGACCGCAAGGCCACTTGGACGAGCTGGATCTGTAAACAGAACAGACGGTCCAGATCGAGGGCTCTGGTGAGAGCCTGAGACGATACGAAGATATCTCGTCATTCATTCACTCGCAGCAATATTGTCCTACTCCTACACGCTTATCTTACAGCTGCTGTGCACCTCTCCTGTTTGCTTTGCTTTATTTGGCGATATATCTCCGTCCATCTCAATTGGTGATACTGATACACACGGAACGTCTTGGATCCGGACAACGTACACTTCCGAGGCTTATCCTCCCGTAGATCATCAAGGCATATATCGGTGTATTGTAGATTTGTAGTATAGTAGTATACGGTAGGGACTGGACGGAGATGTGAAGCAACCGGTGCAGCTAGCCGTGAGGGCCGGACTCCATCCAGCGCCGGGTGACGACAGTGCTACCAAAATAATGCGGCGGGGGACCCGGCGGCCGCGTCAGGTCTGTCCCGACTCCAAGGTGTTCTGATGACGACGAAGAGATGAAAGCTTTAGCATGCAAACAGCCCCTGGCGGGGCCCGGAGTGATGTATTCGGGGCTTCGGGCTAAGGCTGCCAGCAACCATGCGCTATCCTTTGCCTTCAGTTTTCCTTTTTATCTGGTCCCTCTCTATTTTGTTTGTTTGTGTATCACCGTGGTACAATAGGGTTAGGATAAAGCCAGCACCTATAAAATATTCAACGGATTTTTATAAGAACTGTAACTACAATAATTGGAGAGTGTAATTATATTGTACACACATCTATATTTTTTTTTGGCTGTTCAAATTATAGAAAAATAAATCGAGTTGACAATACTGCCAAATTTTTACGGGATAGCCATATATTATCTATCTTTATAAACTAAAAGTCCATTAAACTTCCTATAAACGCTCTCGAGTCGCCAAGTGGCATCCTATAAACGCTCTCGAGTCGTCAAGTGGCATTCTAATAAAAAAAATCTGACCATTGATTTTCATTTAAATTGGTGACCCATTATTTTAGATCGTTAGATCTATTTTGTAGTGAAAATCACATCCGGAAACCTCCCTTTACAAACAAACAAACGTACGTAATGTGCGATGTACGTACGTACTTCCTTCCCGTTACTTTTTTTATATGTTTCTTTCTTTGTCTTTATGAGAAATTAATTAAAACCAAAATTATTTTCACAGGCAAAAAGGCCTCACAAATAGACTTTCACCTACTAGGTCTACTAACTCTCCCTCTGTCACTTTATACATCCTACATCAAACACTTTTAAACCGCTACTTGGTGCTATTAAATTAGAGAAATACTATAAAATCTTAAAAAAAAGAAGTAATTGATTATCGATTTCTACTTAAATTGACGGATACATTGCCATGTGGCATTATCTAATCTCAACGTCGATTTTACTTAAATTAGTAGACCCATTATTTTACACCATTGGATTAGGTAAAGCAAAACATCTATCCCTCGACTTTCAATTAAATCGGTGGTCCAACATTATCAACCGTTAGATTAGATTGATTAGGCGCACCTCCAGGGTGAAAACGGTCGGAAACGGTCGGAATCGGTAGCATCTCTTCGGAAACGATGCTCGATCGGCCGGTAATTGACCATATTTATCATTTAAACTACTCAGTGTCGACATTAATACGATGCAGAAATAAATTAGAAAAAACAAAATTTAAAAATAGCCAAAAAGGTATGATCGGAAATAGTACCCCTTATACGGAAGCGACGCTCGGTCGATCGGGAATTTCTGTTACTGTTTTTACCTCCTCATGTAAAACCCCACCTCTCGTCCTCCCACGTACTGGAGTACGTACGTACTCTAATACTTTTTTTTTTAGATTGTTAGTATTTTTCAATAGAAAACCCAAACCTCTCTCCTCTCCCCACCCCTATGCGACATTCAAATCCATTAAACATCTTATAGATGCTTCTAAACTATTATATGGCATTCTTAAAGCAAAGAAAAATCTTTGAATTTTTGAAAAGAATAATCCAACCATTGGTTTTTATTTAAATCTATGGAAATATTATTTTCAATCGATTGACACATTATTTTGGGTCATTAGATCTTTTTTTTAAAAAAAAGAAGCCCAAACCTCCTTGCATCTCTCTTACTCCGTTGCGGCATGCGGTGTTAAAAGTCCACCTATAAACACTCTTAAGATGTTCCGTTGCTCTCATAGATCAGATAAAATCCTAAACATTCTGACAAGAAAACAAAACATCCGACCATCGTTTTTGACTTAAACATCCAATACATTATTTTAGATGGTTAGATTGATCATTTAGAAAAACATCCCAAACCTCCCTCCCTCCTTGCCATTATTTTCTCTTTGTTTTCTATCTCCTTAACAATTAAAATTAAAATTATCTATATGGGAAAAAAAACAAATGAACCTCCATCTATTACTTATATCCCGTTAGACATATAGTGACTTTCTACCGACTTAATTAATTTCTCTTAACATACATACGGGGCTATGTACTTATACAATTTGACCTTGATACTTTTAAAATAATCTTTTTCGGAGATAAAGAAATGTTCTTAATAATGATGTTCATAGCATCCAACTTACACATATGATGTATGAAGTCACTAATAAATTAGAGAAAAAGAATTTTAAGTGACATATATAATTTTTAATCATAAATGTACTCATCTAGCATTATAGACAACAAGTTGAAAATAAAGGTGCGGTCAGTTGAAGATCATACCAATAAGCATATGGATTGCACCTAGGAATCTTAATAATGATACAACCTTGAGGTGGCCTTAGAAATATATCAAGTCAATTCCATATAAGAATTAAAGACCATGTCCATTTTTTTTATTTTTCTGGTAAAACATGCTAACATTTTAAATCGTGAGTCCTGATGTAGAACAATCTAGAAACATGTACTCTCTCCGTTCCAAAATATAAGGCACAACCACCCTTAACCCAAATACCAAGAAACTATTATTATCACCTCCCAATTTGTATCACCCTAATAAATATAATGCATACACCCAATAGATTAGAGATCTTGAGGGTGGAGGATTTTAAAAAATAATAATTTAATGTATAAGAGGTGCTAATTAATCGCATGCATGCATGCACGTCTTATATTAATTATGGAACATCTGAAAAAAAATAGTTGTGCCTTATATTATGGAATGGAGGGAGTATTATTTGTTATAAGACACTTCAGTTTAGTGATAATTCAAAAAAAATACTATGACCACTACTTCAATATTTCATGAGATAAAATTTATAACATATAACTTTACCCCATGCCATAAATGCATTTATATTTTCACCCTAAATTGCAAAGATCAAAGCATTTCAAGGATGATTCATGGAATAGAACTTTGAAAAAAATAGGGCATGAAATAAATTGAAAACAAAAAAAACTGTTGCTGGATTTAAAACCCATTCTAAATAGAAAAAAAAATTTATGAGGACTGTTAGATAGATAGATAGATAGTATATGTGTGTGTGTGTGGTATATATATATATATATATATAACTTAAAATAAAATCAAACAAAAATTGATACTATTGGATTTCTTTTGGGGTATCGAGATATCCTTCTGGGGAGTCAAAATACCTTAAATTTTCTCATAGGAACCACCTTCATTGTTTTGACATAATGCTTTCTCATAATTTCAAAACTGCATGATCTCAAGTAATTTTATTTTAGAATTTATATGTTGCAAGTGTAATTGTAAGAAAATAACTAGCATTCAAAGCACACTAAATAAGCTTAATTTTAGTTTAGAATATAGTAAAAAAAACATTTTAATAAAAAGTCAGCCACACAAAAATATTCATAATAAAATTCACACACATTATATATGGTGCCCGCGCATGTGCGCGGGTAATCTTTCTAGTTATTATATACTAAAAGTCCATTAAACTTCCTAAAAACACTCTTAAGCCGTCATGTGGCACTCCTATAAACACTACTAGGCCGCCACATGGCACTATCTAATCTCACCATTAATTTTCACTTAAATTGGTGGACCCATTAATTTAAACCATTAGATTAGATCTATTATTAAAAAGGTGATACCTTTTCATGCAAATAAAATATGCAACTGATGGCTTGGGGAAAGGAAAGAAAACAATAAAATGTCCGTACGTAAGTATAATCGAAAAAAAGAAAACAAATGAAGCTTCCTCCCATTAGCCGGAAGGAAAAAAATGTCAACTGGTGGCTTGGGGAAAGGAAAGAAAACAATAAAATGTCCGTACGTAAGTATAATCGAAAAAAAGAAAACAAATGAAACTTCCTCCCATTAGCCGGAAGGAAAAAAATGACATCTACTTACGATAAAAAATTAATAAAACCAAAAATAAAAGCATACTTATTACTGGGAAAAAACGACGGTCTAAAATAGGATTTTGTATAATATAATATAAATATCAAATATCAAATCAAAGGTCTCTAAACATCATCTTTTAAATTATTTATAATTATATGCCCAATTTATGATCCATTGTATTCGTTTAATTATATAAACTATCGATGTATAAAAGTTATTTTTTAGTCTTAAATATATCACGACACATCAAGTCGACATACAATAGTTTGGAAACAAAAAGTCCATTAAATGTCATTTAAACGCTCCTAAACAGCCATAGGACACTCCTAAAAACGCTTCTACGCTACCACGTGACGCTCTAATAAATTAGAAAACCTTATAAATTTAGAGAAAAAAGAAAAACATCCAACCCTCATTTTCATTGGTTGACCTACTATTTTTAAAACATTAGATTACATTTATTTAAAATACATCCATGTAATCTCCCCGAATAAAAAAACATCCCGTAAACTACTCACGAAAAAAAAGAACAAAAAAA